TCCGGGCTGGAGCCGGGCTCTTCCGGCTCTGCTGTGCGACAGCCCGAGGGTGGTTTTTCCCGGGGCGAGAGGCGCAGGTGACTGGAGAAGGTGCAGAGGCGAAGGAGCGGGAGGGCCTGTCCCGCTCAGCCCCTGCGTTCAGAGGAGTGTGTGTGAACATTTCTAAAATCATACGCTTGGACGTTTTCATATAATGATTTCCTGTAGTTTAGCCAGCTCTTCTCTTTAGGTATTGACTTAGGGTCTTTGCCTTTTTGCTATTGTAAGTCATACTAATAATAAATATCCTCTAACTAAATAGTAATTTTGGCTATGGCTTCTTTTTGGTCCCTGGGATTGAACTCAGGACCTTGCGTTTGTGAGGGAGGCTGTGGAACCACTGGGCTAAATCCCGGCTTGTGGCTTTGCATTTTTAATTCCTTAAAGGCAGTATTTCTAGAAGAGGGTACGGAAAATATTTGTACGTCTCTGTATTTTCTGGTATTTTCTAATTTGAGAAGTCAAAGCTGCTATTTTATTGTTGAAGTTAATGTTTATTTGGTTACTTGTAATGATGGATATAGTGGACCTTTGTATCTGAAAGGTATTTGTGGGGCCAGGGATTTAGCACACTGGTTCTGCCTCCTGCCTTGCAAATTCAAGGTCCCGAGTTCGATACCCAGTACCAAAGGGGGAAAAAAAGATATTTGTGACCTTTTTCTTTCTGGAATATGCAGGCCTATCACTTCATGGTGTTTTGGGTTTTTTTGTTTGTTTGTTTTGTTTTGTTTTGTTTTTTAACTCAATGTCATCTCTGAGGAGTGGGCAAACAGTCTATATCCTGGAGGTTGGCATTAGCCAAGGGGAGATTCAGAAAGGAAGCCGTGCCATAGAGGGTTGGTAAGAATTTGAACTTTTCAGCTTCCCTCCTAACTGCTGCCTTGTGGATCTTGGAGCATCTGTTTTGCTGGCATGGATTGTGATAGGTTCTGGAGCTGACAGTTGGTGCCGTGGCTTCCGGGTTAGTTCTTGGTCTAACTTCTGGTCCTGGAGTTAGAGACCTCCTTGGTGGGCCAGTTCTGTGAAGCTAAACCCAAAGGGAAAGTACTCCACTAGCCCTTTCAACAATTGTTTGGTGACCCCATTCCTTATGGTAAATCCTTTTCTGCCTAACCTACCTAAGGCGATTCTGATTTTTTTCTTTTTTTGCAGTTAACTCCTAAATGTTAAGTTCCGTCACCTTTGTGGACAAAATTTCATATCATTTTAGAAAAATTAAACTTTTTATTATATGATAATTATAAACTCACCTGCAGTTGTAAGAATTAATACAGAGAGATCTCTTGTAGCTTCTACTCAGTGTTCTCCAAGACAGAATGCTAACATCTTGGTAAAACTGTAGTGGGGTCACAGTTGCAGTGTTGACATTGATATATGGTCAGGATCCAGAACATTCTGTCACTGCAAGGGTCCCTCCGGTTGCCCTTTGATAGCTACACTCACGTCTCCTAACCCATCATTTCCTTCACCCCTTAAGATTACCCATTTTTTCTATTTTTATAATGCTGTTTAACTTACACTATATGGTTTGTAACCTTTAGGGATGGACCTTTGCCATTCAGCCCATAATTCTCTGGGGATTCTTCCCAGCTGTTGCTTTTATCAATGGTTTGCATTTGTTGTTGAGTTGTATTCCATCGCGTGGATATAGAACAGTGTGTTTACCATTTACCCTTGAGAATACACAGGTTGTTTCTAAGTTTTTGGCTACTGCCAAAAAAGAAAAGAAAAGAAGATGTTTGTACAGGTGTTGTGTGAAAATAAACCATTATTTCTCTGGGATAAATGGGTCAAGTGGTAGTCGTATGTTTAATTTTAATTATTTATTTATTTTTATATTTTGTTACTGGGAATTGAACTCGGGTCCTTGTGCTTGCAAGACAGGCCACCGAACCGCTGAGCTAAATCCCCGGCCCTATGTTTAATTTTTAAAGGAACTGCCAGATTGTTGCTAAAGTATCTGTACCTTTTCACATTCCCATCTGCAATGTATGAATGATCAGTTTTGGAGACCTTCCCAGTGTTTGGCTAATACATGTGTACGGGTATCTTGTAGTTTTAACAAATCTCCCCAGTGGTTAATGAGATTATAAACCCTCTTTGATATACATTCGTGTTTTGGCTCATTTTTAAATGGAATTGTTTTGTATTTTCATTGTAGAGTTTTGAGAGTTTCTGACATATTCTAGATATTGGGATTTTCCTCAGAGGTATGGTTTGTAAAAGAATTAAATTTTGGCTTAAATTTATAAATTAACCAATTCTTCCTATTAAAGTCGGGTTGTTTTTAGTGTTAGATGTGACAGTGCATTGTTTCCTCCTAATAAGATCTTAAAACATTTCATTTTTTTCTGTGTGTGTGTGTGTGTGTGTGTGTGTGCTTCTAGGGGTCAAACGCAGGGGTGTTCTACCTCTGTTCTACATCCCCAACCTGTTAATTTTGAGACAGGGCCCAGGTAGATCGTGACTTGTGATCCTCCTACCTCAGCCTCCCACAGTGCTGGGATTACAGGTGTGTGCCAGTGCACCTGCCGACAGTTACATCCATATCTTAGTCATGTTTGTATTAATGGGGCAACATACTTGACACCCACAACTTAAGGGAGCAGATAGTTTCTAGGCGAGGTAAACTTTTATGTCTGCAGAAGGGTTTGGAGCCAGACGAGAGCAGGCCCACTGAGTGGGCGGCCCGCCCTTCTGGGTTTCATCCCTGAGTGCTGTTGTCACTGCCTTGCTCCCTGGGTGGGGAGTGTGGCCTCACAGTCTAACCTGGTTGGCTAGTTTAATGAGATCGTAGTTGCTAGGCAGTGCAAATTCTGTGATGGGAAGTCCTTTGTTAGGAAGTTTTACGGCAGGAGGACGGGAACATAGCCCTTTGCCTCAGGTTTTCAAGGAATGGTGAAAGAAGCATGGTGTACATTTTACAGAAATAGGGATTTTTATAAAATGGAGTTATTTCAGTGATCTCCTCTGCCAGATGTAGTAAGATGTGAGCCAGAAAGGCCGCGGACAACCCCACTTATCTGAACTTGCCAGTCGTCGCCCACATGGCCTTTCTCATGTGCTTCTCTGAGGCCACATGCAGCTTTCTTCCACGATGTTCTTCCTTCGGTCTCCAGCTCCCAGTGGTCTCCACGGCAGCTTCCGCGTCACTCGCCTAGCTTTGTGCATTGCTGGCTACGCTGTTAGTTCCAGACTATCTCTTGAGCAGATTTAATCTCCATCAGAGCCCTAGAACAGTCTTTCATTGTTTAAAAATAAACCTAATAGACGAGAAAGTCAATTTAGGCTTTGGCCTCATTACTGCCTGAGTCACACACAGTGTTCCTTCCGGAAATGAGGCATAACGGATGCAGCTTCCCTCCACCTTCAAGGCCAGCAGCATCGCATCTTTTTGTCCCTTCCTTCACTGTGGTCCTGATTGTGGTCCTCACCCTTTCTTGTCACAGCTTGTAAGACTTGAATAGGCTAAAGTGACTCCATGCTAATAGGCCAGACTGTGCTTCTTCATATGCTAATTGCTACCTTGGTTAACAGCCCACCCAGGGGCAAATGGTTTGACAAAAGGTGACCCTAGAACATTTCCTGCATAAGATAAGCAATGTGTTTGCAGTCTTGTTCTGTGAATTCCCTGACTCTTTGTTTAGAAAAACCTTATAAAAAGTACTTCAGCCCCTGAGCAGTTGCCTCTCTGAGCCACCTGGCTCCGGGAGTGCCGTCTGGCCAGACTAATAAAGGTCTCTTTACCATCTAGGCTGGTGTGTTCCTTCCTGGGTTTCTCGGTTCTCTGTCGTGTTCCCGGAGCCTCGCTGGGTGTTAGGGCCCAGCATCGTGGAGGCCTTTCGGCTGTTCATGCTCCGTGGAGTGGAAGTGAGACTTTAGGTCTTACAAGCTGATAAAGCTTCTCTTCTAAAGATGCGTGTGATTAGATTGGCCCACTTGGATAATTCAGGATAATCTCCCATCTCAAGAACCTTAACCTTAATTATATCTGTAGAGTCCCTGTCGCCATGTAAGATAACATACTTACGGATTCTGGAATCGGGCCGTGGACACCTTTATGAGGGCAGCTGTTTTGCATACCATTTACTTTTAATGTACAATTTTATTTGAAATGTGTTCCTTGTATGCTATTAAACAGCTTTGTGTGCTGTTAAACATCGTGAAGCGTCATCTCCATTTTTAACACTGCTTCTCTTGGTTGAAGCATGGTTTAGTGTAGACATCGCCATGTTCTCCTGTGGTGTGTATGGCAAATTTAGATGGGTGTTGTTAAGCAGGCACACATACAATCCACTTGTTGTCTGTCGTTAAGTCTTAGAACTTAGCCTATGTGCTAAAATGTTTACTCTTTGGATTTGCTGTATTTTTTGTTTCTAGGGATTCATTTACGCCCTTACCAACTGGAAGGAGTCAACTGGCTAGCTGAGTGCTTCCACTGTCGAAATGGCTGCATCCTGGGAGATGAGATGGGTCTGGGTAAGACCTGCCAGGTACGTTACCGTGGATTGTGCATTGCTACCTGCTCCGAAATACCACCTCACAACTCATTACCGTCTTTAGCTCCTAGCTACAATATGTATTTTTAAATGAAATGTCTGAACATTTATTAAGAAATTGGAACCTCAAAGTTGATTTTTGTATTTGTGGGGGTGGTTTTGTATTGTGTCAGTGCCCGTCTCATCTGCCCTTTGATATATATCTGTGAGAAGACATTCCTGAATTAAAGGTGCATTTAGGGTGTAGGCACAAGGCTTTTCTCTATGTAAAACAAATATCGCTGCCCAGGGATTGAATTGACCCTGATCTCCTTAGCAGAAGCTCGTGTAATTAATGGGATTACTTGTAATAATGTACTAATCTCCCTTCCTTGCCTGGGGGTTTTGGGCCCAGAATTCTCTGATGTCAAAACAGGACAGAAGAAAACAAACTGGAGTTTCTCCGCAAGGCAAACTTTACTTCTGCAGAAGGGTTCTGAGTCAGATGACTCAGTAGGCCCACTGAGTGGGCGGCCCGCCCTCCTGTGCGCTGTTGTCATTGCCTCGCTCCCTGGAGGGGAGTGTGGCCTCACAGTCTAACCTGGTTGGCTAGTTGAATGAGATCGTAGTTGCTAGGCAGTGTGAATTCTGTGATGGGAAGTCCTTTGTTAGGAAGTTTTACGGCAGGAGGACGGGAACATAGCCCTTTGCCTCAGGTTTTCAAGGAATGGTGAAAGAAGCATGGTGTACATTTTACAGAAATAGGGATTTTTATAAAATGGAGTTATTTTAGTGATCTCCTCTGACAGAAAAGACTACCTTTTCCTACAGAGGTGGAGCTCTTTTCCATTTTTCTATCATGATAGAGTAGCTTAGTGGAAGTATCCAATGTTTTCCATACTATATCTTGGCCATCTGTCTTAAAAGGAAGCGAGGTAGAAAGACTGGGAGCACCCGGAGGGGCCTTCTTGGGTATTGCTAAGCATCTGATATGTTGATGTTGAGTCTTCTGTCAGGATGGGCAGCTACTGCTCTGGATTGACAGCTGTTATTGGTGGGCTCGGATGAATAACAGATCCAGTCACCACACCCCTTAGGTTAATCGCTCAGTTTCCTTGTCTATAGGATAGCAAAGAAAGTCAGTGCATTGAGTATGCACAGCAGAGGCAACTTGTTCAGGTGCGGTGGAGATAAAGATTTTGCATTCCCAAAAAGGCTTTAGCAGTTACCATGCAGAATGAACAAGCTCCACTGCCCCCTCTGAGGCCCACCCTATATACACAAACTTCATGCTGGAGCAGACTGCATGTAGGCTCGTGTGACTGTGTGTTTGAGGCTGTTTAAGACGGGCACATCTCGTCTACCACGTAATTATTTAGAATACCATGTGACCTCTGAATAGAGTTCCCTGAGATGCTTTACTTAGCACCCTTCGCGTTCTCCAGCTAACCTATCTCTCCTTAGTATATTCCTGGACTGAGCACTGGGGAACTAGATCAGAGATGAGTTTCCTGGATTTCTCTGGGAGCCCGGCTACAAGGCTCTTGGACTGATCAAGGTCAGTCATTAGAATTGTCCTGTTGACTTCATTCAAAGCCAGCAAAGTCCACTTGTCCTTTGCCTTTCTAGCTCTTCTTTTTAATACTCAAAAATATACCACCTCCACATTTGTTTTACTAAAAGTTTGTTCAGAATTTTTACATCTATATCAAAATAATACTGGCAAGTAATTTCTCTTTCTTATAGTATTTTTGTCTGATTTTAATCATAGAATGAGTTGAGAAGGGTTCCCTCTTCAGGTTTCTGGGAAAATGTATGTAGAATTGGCATCGTGTTTTCTTTAAATGTTTGGTAGAATTCACTAGTGACTTCAGATTGTTTTGCAGACAAATCTGGTTTATGGTAATAAAAGATAAACCTTTTCTGAATTGCATCCTCAGGGAAAGCTAAACAGAATGTGCTTAATGTTATTGGAGAGTTGCTCTAGGCATAGCTTGTGCTGGGAAGCTATAGATAATTAAAAAAGAAAGTCATTTCTGTTATAAATTTAATATAACTGTATTTAAAGAATTAATCATAGCACTCTAGGTGCAGCCATAGTAGCAAAGTGTGTTTTACATGGTTGGAACTATATCTCACGTACAGTTCATAGTTTGGGTTTTGTTAATCTAACACTGCCCATTGTAATTTTGTATTTCATTTATTCTTCACAATCATTATTTTCAACTAGCTGCATAATATTCCATCAGGGGAACTTATTGTAATTTACTTAAATGTTCTACAGAGGAGGAATGGTGAATTCTTCCCTCTTTTTGGATTATTTAAACTAATCTTGATATAAACATCTTTGGGAATATAACTTTCTTAGTGGTTTGAATTGTATCTTAGGATGGATTTTTTTTTCATAGAAATAGCTCAGCATTTGGGAAAGGAAGCTCCTCACACATTTTTGTTTTACGGTAGTGTTATTTTTTTTTTCCTGTCTGTCACAACAATTTCCAAGTCACAAGTGTACGCAGGCATCTCCTGAAGAATGCCCATATGACTTTACCAGACTCACTTGTACCCTGACTTCAGTTGACAGGAGTGATTTATTGTCTGTTTTTGCTGTTTGAATGCATGCTCCAGGAGAACAAGGAGTTTTGTCCACTGTTGTCTAGCCAGAGCATAGCTTTGTTCAGTGCTACAGTGATCCATACAGACACACAGAACAAAGAAAAATAGGGGGGAAGGAAATTGCAGAGGGAAGAGTATAGGAAGGGAGGAAAACATCCTTAATGGATGAGCCTAACAAGCCTCTGGCTCATTTTTGGGTCATTTTTGTGGGTCATTTTTACATCCCTATCTTGGTATTTCTGGCTTTAGTTTTTAGAGTATTCCTGATCTTGTTCATCACATGCATTATTTTTTACTAATTTCTATTCTTTCCTTTTTTTCTTTGAATTAAACATTCAGTTATATAAATAATGAGCCTCATTTTTGTTAGCTACTGAAATAATTTAAGAACATAAATTCCTGTGGCAAGTATACTGAGGTTTACATGATTTCACTCTAGGAGTGGATTATTCTCCTAAAGTGTAGGAGAGTGTACATAATTTCTTTGTAAAGTAAGTCATGTATAAGAGTTTGTGTTTCCTACAGCTGTGGGAAGTTTATGGTTGTTTCTCATGGGGAAATTTGATCAAAACTGCCTTCTTCTGTGTTCCAGACGATTGCTCTTTTTATCTACTTGGCAGGAAGATTAAGTGATGAAGGACCCTTTCTGATTCTTTGTCCCTTGTCTGTTTTGAGCAACTGGAAGGAAGAGATGGAGAGGTACAAAAGTAGATATGGTTGAAATTTTATTGTTTATGTTGGTTAAGATACTTTTCTAAATGATACATAAAATATGATAAGGCACTTTGCCATAATCGGTGAGTTGATTATTTCAGAAAGCCCTGAACTGGGCCGGGGATTTAGCTCAGTGGCACCATGCCTGCCTTGCAAGCAGAAGGTCCTGAGTTTGATCCCTGGTACCAAATGCAAACAAACAAAAAACAAAACAAAACAAAACAAAGAAAGCCCTGAACTGAAGCAATATAAGTGGACACTGAGGCTCTGATGGGGAGGCCCAGTAGAGGTTATTGTTGTTACTTGGCAGTTCAAAAGTTAGTGCTTATTTTTTAAAATTTTGCTGAACTTAAGGAGAAACAAACCATCCTCCTTGTAGTGAAATAGGAAGCCACATGGAGGAGATATGTTTATTTTAGAGTCAGCACAAGACCCTCTTAGACTTGGCCCTTCCACCTACTTACACTGGACTTTACCCTGAGGTATAACCATTACTGTAGATAAGGTTTAAAGCCTCAGGACTCTTTCTAGGTACAGGGTTATAGCATGAGTTTTATATTAGTAAGTTTCCCCTTATTGGGACAAAATACCTGACACCCACAATTTAAAGGTGGAGAAGATTCATTTGTTTTATAGTTTCAAAAATTTCAGTCCACGATCATTTGGCTCCAGGGCAGGAATGTCATGTTGCAAGGGTATGGCGGAGGACGGCTGCTCACTTCATGGTAGCTGAAAACTGGAAACAGAGCAAGGGCACAGCACCATAGAGGAAGGGGTCAGGGCTCAGATACAGTATCAAAGGTAAGGCCTCTGGGACCCACCTAGGCACAGTCATTAAGTGTGGTCTTCCGAGCCAACCAAGTTGACAGCCCAGTTAACTGTCCAGGGGCCTCGGGGCCTGCACAATGCAGTGTAATTTTCTAATTGTGCTCACCTTGTCCCATGGCTCTAGCATTTATTTGGGTTTATCTGTATATTTTCTTGGATTCAGATGTGCTCCAGGCCTTTCCTGTGTAACATATGCAGGCGACAAAGAGGAGAGGGCCCACCTTCAGCAACACCTAAACCAGGACTCACGTTTTCATGTGCTGCTGACTACTTACGAGGTATGCATTTGTTTCTCTGTGGCAGGAACTCCTAGCTTGGGCTAATAAATTCTAAAATCCACTGAAAGTATATTTAACTTTTTTGAGACCACACATTTTCTGAAAGGAATGTCTGTCTTCATTATATATTCAGAGAGGGATTGTGATGAAAGAAGTGAAGGATCACTGTGCTTTGATTAGGTTTCTTTCCCTCTCCTGCTTGGCAGTTTAGGGGGAAGGCTTCCCCCAGAGGTGGCACTTATGCTGCTCTTGGTTAATGAACAGGAAGAGTCAGACAGGGTGGGGAAAGGGTTTTGTGTAGGGAGGCATCCTGTCTACTGGAGGGTAGGCATGGAGGACACTAAATTCTTGTTCTTTAAGCTAAGACTGAGTCACTGTAAGTGAGACCTTATACTTAATCCTGCCTCACTTCTGGTTGTAAGTCAGTGCTAGAAATTATGCTTGGGAGCTGAGTGTGGTGGTGCACATCTGTAATCCCAGAACTCAGGAGCCTGAGGCAGGAAGGTTGTGAGTTTGAGGCCAGCCTGGGTTACCTAGTGAGACCCTGTCAAAACCAAACAAAACTGGACAAAATTAAAGAGAACAAGAAGAAAAGATAGAAATTATGCTCAGAACTTTATTTTTTACTTATTGAACAAGTAATATGTATCTAGTAGCAGCCTTTTAAATCTGTCTTCCTTAATTTTTCAGATTTGCTTGAAAGATTCATCATTTCTGAAATCGTGAGTAGGTTATACTATTTCAGAAATTGTAGACTGTATCTCGAAAATTGTATCTTTCTTCCACATGCCTCTTTCCTGCCTTGTTTTGTATGTCTTCTGTGAATTTTGTTTAAGAATAGGCAGACATTGCAGAGGCCTGTGTTCTACCCTTGGATTGGTTACTTAATCTCCATGAACTTCAGCTTCTTTAGCTATAAAATGAGGATAATTTTCTTATCAAGGATGGCTGTTGTGAGTCATGAAATGAGAAATACTTGATTGGTTAATAAATGTTAGATAATTTACATTGCAACTTGTGTAGACAGCCCTCAAGCCTGTTGTTGGGAGATTTTTACTATTTTGTAGAAGGTGAATCATTTTAACCCTTTTCTGGAGATAACTGAAAATACAGTAGAGTATTTTGTACAGTAGTGTATTAGTTTACAGTGCTATGGAATTCACTTTCTAAAAAGGAAATTTGAAATACATTTCTAGTTAGTTAATTTTAGGGGCCTCATATTGACCCAGAAAGTACAGGAAACTGAGATGTAACTGTTCCTATTGCCTAGTAGGAATGGCACGTTGCACTATATGGTCCTGTCATAACAGCTGCAATGTAAACTAAAGAACTAGATTATAGGTCAGTAAGAAAGGAAGATATGTTGGCAGGGTTTCAGTCCCCATAGCCTGTATAGTTATGACATGGTTAGGTGGGAATTCTGTATCTTTAATATTCAGAAATTATTGTTTTCAAAATGTTTTATCACATTTTAAATGTCTTTTTCTCATTCAGCTTCTTGTGAGTGAATTTATGTTTGCATCATGTAGAAGTACTAAAGGCTAGAATAACTTTCATCTAGTATTTTACTAGTTTAATTAAAGTGAGGACATCATCTTTTCTTAAGAGTATATGCTTGGGCTGGGGATTTCCACCACCTGCCTTGCAAGTGCAAGGACCTGAGTTCAATCCCTAGTACCAAAAAATAAGAAAGAGTATATGCTCTCCATACACACACACACACACACACACACACACACACACACACACACACACACATTGACTTTTTGGTACCTGGGCTCGAACTCAGGTCCCTATATATTTATTTAAATTTTATTTTTGTGGTGCTAGGGATCAAACCCAAGGCCTCACACATGGTAGGCAAGTATTCTACCACTGAGCTATCTCTCTAGCCCCTTTTAAAAATTCTTAACATCCTACTTAACTCTTGATGAATCTCTCCAGCCCCTTTTAAAAATTCTTAACATCCTACTTAACACTTGATGAAGTCTTTCTCGAAAGGAACTGTTTTGGAATTTATTGCCGATATTAGGAAAGTAAGTCGTAGCACTGCTCTAAGAGGACATGAAGTCCAGGAGAGGGATAAGAAGGGTACAGATACAATGCAATGCATTATATGAGAAGTCTCAAAAGACAGTACAAATTGGGACGTAAATATTGTTGAGTACTTTACATAAACTATCCCATTGAAATGTCACAAAAATCCTAGTTAGGCAGGTCTTTATATCCATTTTACGATGAGGAAAATAAGAGATTAGGTAACTCGCCAACACTACTTTGTTAATAAATGGAAAAGCAGATATTCAAACTCAGCACTAATGCTTGCAGCCTCTTTAAAAGTACTTCTTAAACTGGCCGTTGTGGTGACTGGCTGTAATCCCAGCACTCGGGAGGCTGAGGCAGGAGGATCACTGTGAGTTTGAGGCTAGCCTGGGCTACATAGTGAGTTCTAGATCAGTCTCAACTACATAGTGAGACCTTGTGTTAAAAAATTTAAAAAAAAAAAGAACTTAAACTGTCTAGATGCATGGGAGGGTCACATTGTCCAACAGAAATATCGTCTGTTCTAGATGCATTTCTAGGTGGATTTAAAAACCTTCATAACAGAGACACATTGGTAATGTTAACCCAGAGTCCTAATCCCCACAAAATAGATGTGTTCTTTTAACATGTTTGTTAAGGTTTCCATATTCCATTTCTGTACTGTACATTCTGAAAAAAACAGGGAAATGTAATATAATTTCTGAACTAGTCAGATAGTTATGGACAGTTACAGTGGTGTGTGATAATATGAAAAAATTGAAATATTTTTGGACAGTAGTCTTTTAAAATCATTGGATCAAAAGGATTAGGAGAGATCTCATTGGACTCTCCAAGGTTGGAATTTCTTTTTTCACTTCTTCCTCTTCAGGAGTGTCTCTTTCTCTTCTTTAAGGCCCCATGCATACTGAGCAAATACTGTATCCCCGAGTCACATCCCAGTCCTTATGAGTCTTTTCTTTTTCCTTAATTTTACTGGTACATTTCAGGTATACAATATGCTAACATTCATTATTGGGAATTTGTACCTTTACAAAGTATATTTTGGTTCTTATTTTTTCCCCATTTCCCTGCCCTCCCTTCAACCCCTCTACCCCTCCCTATTTACAAAGACTTTGTTTCCATTTTTTCCTCTTCTCATATTTATTCCTTTCCCTTCTTTCCTTTCCTGTATCCTTCCCACTTCTCCTTCCCCCTTGGACCTTTTCTTCCTATTTCACATTATGTATTACATATTTTGATCCTTATTTACGCTTTGAGTTTCTCACACCAGAGAAACTATTTGGTATTTACACACATGTGTCCTGTTTATTTCACTTAAGAGTATGGCCTCAATGTACATCCCTTTAGCTATAAATGTCTCTAGTTTCTTGTTCTTTATGGCTGAGCAGTACTCCATTTTATATAAAAAGAAAGCGCATCTTCTTTCAATGAGTTTTTTTTTTTTGGTGTGTTTGTGTGTGTGTGTGTGTGTGTCTGTGTGTCTGTGTGTGTGTGTCTGTGTGTGTGGTACCAGCCATTAAGTTGCCCAGGCTAGGCTCAAACTTGTGATCCTTCTGCCTCAGCTTCCCAGGGTTTGCGGTATACAAGCATGTACAACTACGCTAAGCTATGACTGAAACTTCTTGAGAAATTGCTGTTCTCACCCACACGCTATAAAATATGCCCTGGCAGTAGCAGCCTGTGAGCTCTATGTTTGGAAATGTAGTGTGTCTGTCTTCCTGGACACCTCTGAAATTTGGTACTTGATTGGGTTCACCACTTCCCCACTTTAAAATCCTGCTTCTTACGCTACTATGACACCACTGAGTCTTGATTTTTCAGTTCTGCCTTTATGACTTTGAGTAAGTCACTTAATCTTTTTGAGCTGCAGTCTCCTTGTTGGCACAATTATGTTTACTTGCCTTATTCTTTTGGACTAAATAACGTGTAAAACCACAAGCTCAGTGTCTGGCATATAGTAGAAAGTTATAAATATTTTCTTTCCCTTTTGTTTCTGTCTTCTTCCTTTTTGCATATGTCTTTCCCATACTGGGGGGGAAAACCTTTACTTTTACTGATATCCTCTCTGATCGGCAGGCAATTTGGGGTGCTTTTCTAATAGGGGGGCTTACTATTTTTCTAACAACAGTCAGTTTTGTCCTAAGACTTGGTTATGAGATGTCACACAAAACTGAAAGCCTGGATTTGCTTTCACAGCTTCTCTTGGAGTGTTCTTGTTGTGGATGAAGCTCACAGATTGAAAAATCAAAGCTCTCTGCTACATAAGACTCTTTCAGAGGTAAGCTCCCCTGGTCATCTTCTATTCTTCCCTTTTTAATAGGCTATTTTTAGAGCAGTTCTAGGTTCACAACAAAATTAAAGGAAGGTACAGAGAGTTTCCATATCTTTACCCCCACATGTGTGTAACATTCCCCTTATCAACTTCTGCCTCCAGAATGATACATTTGTTACAAATGATGAGCTGACCTGTGGCCATCTTTTAGGGCCCCACTCAGTGTTGTAGAGTCTGTGGGTTCAGACATGTGGTGGCTTACATCCACTTTTAATACCACACAGTGCAGTTTCCTTCATTGCCCTAAAAATCCTCTGTGTTCCATCTGTTCATCTCTTCACCAGGTTTTCTTTTTTCTTTTCTTTTTGATACCAGGGATCAAACTCAGCCCCTTGTGAGATGGTGGCACCACTGAGCTAAATCCCCAGCCCTACGCATCTCTTCTTTATAACTCCTCACTTAAAAAGAAATACTAGTTTAGTCCTGTATAGAGTCAGTTTAATTGAAACAAGTTTATTTCAGTCAGATTTCAACAGGGATAAATGAACATTTTTTGGTAACACAAGTTTTATTTCATATGACCCACAACTTCTTCTTCCTTACATCCTTTCTATAGGATGTGTGCTTTCTGGTTATCAGACAAGTACAGCCTTACTCCAATAAAAGGCTTGTTCCTTCCTGAAACCGTGCATGTTAATTTCTCTGATGATGCTTGAAGTTTGTTCCTTATCCTACAGTACATCACGTAAATTTAGAGGTCATTTGGAGGAAAATCTCAAGTCTGAATTCTATATTTACTGGTCTGAAAGTGGCATTTGTTAGAATTTTAAGGCAAACATGGTGTCTCTTAGTCTTAATGATTGTTACCCCTGGTAGGGCATCCTCTGCTCTCTGTTATTCTTTTCCTTCTTTTTAGGGACCTTAACACTGTCTCTTAAGAGGTTGTCATGTTAGTCTGTTTGTGTTGCTTTTACACAGTGTCATAGACTTATATAATGAACAGAAATTTATTTCTCATGGATCTGAATGCTGGGAAGTCCAAGCATTTGATAAGGGCAGAAGGGCAAGAGAGAGACGAGAAAAGTAGCCTAATACAGCAAGAGGCCTCTTTGAAAAGGGCCTTGATTCCACGCACAGTGAGCAGTCTTTGGGCCTAATGACTTCATTTTCTTTTCTTTTCTTTTCTTTTTTTCTGTATTGGGAATTGAACCCAGGGTCCTTCACACTGAAATACATTTCTAGGCCCCTCTCCTTTTTTTGAGATGGTCTCACTCTGCAGTTCAGGCCTTAAACTGATTATGTATCCCAGGCTGGCCTCAAACTTGAGGCAATCCTCCTGTCTCAGCTCTCGAATGTTGGAATTACAAGCATGCACCACCACACCCAGCTTCTAGGCCTTTTTATTTTTTCTTTTGAGAGAGGATGTTACTTAGTTCTCTGGGCAGTACTTGAACCTGTAATCCTCTTACCTCAGTCTCCCAGAGGAGTGAATTATAGGCTTGCGCCACCATGCCCAGACCCAGCCTGATCACTTCTTAAAGCCTCTACCTTTTAAGATTATCACATTGGCAACCCTTGGAATTTGGAGAGGACGTAGCCACCCTCTAAAATGGTCCTGTTTAGAGTTTCTATCCTTATAAATGACACTTTTTAAAAAGTTTACTAAACTTTTTTTTACCCAATTATAAGTTTGGCTCTGTTTTACCCAATTACAAGTTTTGATGCCAAATGGACACTACTTTGAAATAAAAAGTTAATTCATGTTATAGGATTGTAATGACCAGCAACCTTGGTTACCTTGTGACCTCATAATCTTTGGTAACTTCAGCTCCTTATTTGATGAGCACATAATGTAAAAGTGTAAATTGGTTATTGGAAACATTTTGGCTTTTATCTATTTCCATAGTTGAATATTTGGAGAACAGTGCTCAACAAGCAGAGTAGGCAAGACTGAGTCAGCATTTTAGAAAGAAACAAGAAAAAGTGGGATTGCAAAAAATATTATTAAATTAATTTTAATGGATTATTTTGTTTCATTGATCACTTTTTCTTATTCTAAGAGCAGTATTTTTATAGGATCATTCCCCAAATAAAACAAATACAAGAAGAAAATGAATAATAATCCTACTCCTACATTAACACGTTTCCACCAGCTTGAATCACCTGTGGCATATGCATGACTGGTGGTGTAAACAGATCTAATCACTTTTATTGGTAGTTTTACTAACAAAATTAATAAAAAATCTGCCTGATGGGACAGTCATGCGTGTGCTTCTGGTGGTTCAAGCCACCCAGCAGTGAGACATAGGCATCGGGCCCTGTTGTGAATGTGTTAATAATTTGCTGTTTGTGCCTGTGTGGCCATATCCTTTGCTGTGCATGTAAACACTAAAACATCCAGCAATACCTCAGTGCATAAATGCTTATGTTTGCAAACAATTCAGTTCTCAAACAAAAGTGTTTGACAGAATTTTGCTTCCATTCACAAACTCTACATTGGGGCACAAACACAGGCATCTTCCCACACAAACACAGATGTGGCCATCTTCCCCCAAATCATAAGTAAATTAAGTTTGTAAACTGAGTTACCATGGTATATGCATATGTATTTAAAAAAAATAAAAATATTTACTATTTTAAGTATCAAAATACAGTATGTGCATATAGTAGTAGATATATAGAAACATCCTTAGATACTGTATTTTTCTAATTAAAATCATATACCTATGTAAAATATGGCTTTCTCGCTTTGCTATATTTTTCTGATAATATAAGTTCTTGTTAGTGTCCGTTTAGAGTTTGGTTTTGCCTGACCTAATACCTGTTGTTACAGTTTCTTCTAGTCTCTGTTCTTGGTATTCCCATCTGATTCTGAAAGTTTAAAGAATTTCTTTCCATTTTGAGATATATAGCAGAATGTCCAGAAAGCTCCAGACATCTTGATATCTTGTATCTGATGCACCATAAAGTTTTACAAAAGGATGTTGTTTTAGTATAGAGTCTTACCTCTTGCTTGTAGTAGAGGGCTTCTCAACTCTGATGCTACAGTTTGGGCTTCTCAGCCTCCATGAGTTTGTGTAAGGTCTCAGATGCTTCACAAAACTCCCGACATAGGTCATAACACTACCAGTAGATTGAATAACAGTAACTCTATTGAGAACTCATGTAATGCATCAGAGTTCAGAGTTCACAAAATGACCTCCCTCGCCCTGCCCACTTCCTTTTCTCCTTCCCTAAGAGCCTCTGCCCCTGCCTTTCTTCTGTTTCTCTCCTTTCTGCTGTCTCCTTTCTGCTGTCTCCTTTCTCTCCCCCTTTCTTTCCCTTTTCAGTGCTGGGGATCAAACCCAGAGCCTCTTGTATGCTTACATCCTTCTAACAGTGTCTTCTTCACAATATTATTATCCTTTTCTTTGAGTTGAAACTGTAGAAGTATGATTTCCCACATCAGGGGATACTTCTGAGCCTTCTGACTGCATGTGCCATGGTCGTTCCATTAAATCCTGTTGCTCTTTGTATGAATAAAGGTTGGGATGGGTAACTCAGTCTTGCTTCCAGAGATTTGAACTTTTGTATTTATGTGTTTGAGTTCTCAGTGGTCTTCAGTCTCCTGTTGACTGGAACTCCCATACAGAACAGCCTCCAAGAGCTCTACTCCCTCCTCAGTTTTGTGGAGCCTGATCTGTTTTCTAAGGAGCAGGTGGAAGATTTTGTTCAGCGTTATCAGGATATTGAGAAAGAATCCAAGTCAGGCAAGTTCCCTTTCTACGAATCTTCCCCAAGAGGTCCTGATGCAGAAACTGTGCTGGTTCATAGCAGTTACAGATAGAAAAGAAAGAGAATCAATAACTAAAGTTGCCCTCCAGGAAGATAAAGAGCCACAAATGCAAGCCACATTGTGTTGGATTCTTCATGTTGATTCTAGTTATGCTCTATCTGTGAAGGAATTATTCATGAATTATTAAATGATTCTACACCAGGGATTACTTAGTTTACTTTTGAAAGAAGTAGAAAATTCCTGCTGATTTATAGACCCCTCCATTTGTAATGTTTAAAGACTTTGTTAATTTTCCTTTCTTCTTCCCAAGGTATACAAGTAAGTGGGTGCTGTAGTCCTAAACTGTTATTCAGCATTCTGCATTACTGCTGTTTCTTTTGAACACTGCACTGAAACCAAAAGTGTGAGATGAATGGTAAATGAAATGGAAGGATGGAAACTTGTCATTTGTGTAGCTAGTGGCTTTCTTTAGTACCTTTGCCCTCTGCCTTGTAGATTTATCCCTATGATATTTATCCCTATTCATCTCTATAATATTATCCTAGGATAATTATTCAAAACAGATGGCTGATGTGCCAACTGGTGACTACATGTGTGTTGGATGAGTAGAATTTGGAGGGTTGTCTCACAATGAAAATCCCCATTTTATAGTCTAAAGACTACTTAGGGAACTGAACCTGCCCTTCATCCTCCCATATTTAGAGTTGCCATACGTTAAAAGTAAAGTAGTATTGCCATACATTAAAAAACTACTCATTGTTTATCTTAAATTCAAATTGAACTAGTGACTGGTATTGTTATTATTTGTATGTGGCATTCCTACATATAGTGAAGCTCTAATCAGAGTAGTTTTTGAAGTTCAGGATACTTGGTGAAAGAATAGGGATTTGAAGTCAAAAGAATCAAGTTTGATTGCTGGCAGCATTTACATTCAGCTTGGAAAAGTAGTTTAATTTCCTTGAGCCTCACTGAACTCTGCCATTAAAATAGTGACAGTATACTTAACTTGCTCTGTGTTTCTAAACTGTTATGCCATTAATGAGATTAATACAGAAACACCCTGGAAATAAAACAGATTCCTGAAAATGAGATTATTGGTAAGAATCAGATTCTTCAAGTGTTCTTAGTTCTTGGGTTAGGAACCAAAAACCAATTCAGAGGGTGTTGGAAAGAACTAGTAAAGGAAGAAATACCAATGGTTTTCAACTTATGGCAGTTCAATTTATGATTTCTCAACTTTATTGTGTTGCAAAAGCAATACCCATTCAGTAGAAGATAAGCTTTGAATTTTGAATTTTTATTGATACAAAATATATATACATGTTTATAAGCTACAATATGTTTTGATTCATGTATGTGTGGGTTGATTACCTCGGGTAATTATCACAAACATTTCTTTATAGTGAATAAATTCAGAATCTTCTAACTACTTTGAGATATATAATGCATAATTATTAATTAAAAATTCTTAATACCAAAAATCATTAGGGAAATGAAAAACAAAACCATGATGGGACATCAGCTTATCCTAGTGAGAATAGCTATTACCAAAAAGACAAAAGATAAATGCAGGAGAGGATGTGGGGAAATGGGAGCTCTTATACATTGCTGGTGTACAACCATAATACTGGTAGTAATGTAAATTCGTACTGTCATAATAGAAAACAGGATGGAGGCCCCTCAAAAAACTAAAAATGTAACTGCCATCTAACCCAGCAGCCCCATTACTGAGTATGTACCAGAGGAAATTAAATCAACATGTCAAAGAGACATCTACACTCTTATATTTATTGTGGCACTTTCCCCAGTAACCAGAATACAGCGTTAACCTAAATATCCATCAACAAATGCATAAAGAGAATGTGGTATGTGTAGGCAACAGGATGCTAGTCAACCATATAAAAGCCTGAATCTTGATCTTTTCCCAGGCTGGATATGGGGTAAGATACTCTCTTGAGATGCTGGGTGATAGTCCTAAGTCACAGATCCCCAGCCAGCCAGGTGATCATGAGAGTGAGTAACTGACTCTACAGGATTCTATGTTGCTGGTGTTATTTGGATACAGGTATTCAATAAATTACATGAACTATTCAATACTTTTTAATAAAATAGGCTTCGTGTTAAATTACTTTGTCCTACTGTAGACTAATGTAACTGTTTTAAGCAGGCTATGTTAATTTATAATGTTAGATAAATTAGGTTTATTAAATGCATTTTCAGCATAGGTTTTCAGCTCTTATGGGTTGGTTTATAGGGACATAACCTGTCCAGGAGCATTTGTACTATGAGAAATTTCTGTAGTGACCTAGAATGCACAATTAGCATGAAAATGAGAAACAAAAATGGGTTATTTATTGTATATTCTCTAGTAGTTCAATACCTTCATCCTCCTCTTGTCCCACACTCTTGTATTTCTTTTTCTTAACACAGCAAGTGAACTGCACAGACTCTTGCAGCCATTTCTGTTGAGGCGAGTGAAAGCGGAAGTAGCTACAGAGCTTCCCAAGAAGACAGAAGTGGTGATATACCATGGGATGTCAGCATTGCAGAAAAAATACTACAAGGCCATTTTGATGAAAGACCTAGGTAATCAGAGGGCACTTGTTCAATTTAGAAAGTAAATAGGGATTTGATTTTCATGCAGAGGCATTGTATAATCACACTCACTTTGTATTCTGAATGGCACTCAGGTCAGCGCAGGGAGACCATGGTAGAGTAACTTTTGTGTAACTCAAATAGGCATCACAGTGGTGAAAGTTCTGTTTCCTCTCATTCAGTTTTCCTTATTGCCTTTTGCCTATAATTAAAATACTCCCAAATGCTCCTGACATGCTTTTTATCCTCCCACCCTGTCAGATGATTAACAGATTATAAGTATTGAATCAGATTGGGATTGGGAGTGGAAAGGGAGAGACAGGAGTGCAACAGTCTGATTTATGTATGTATTTTTTGGCTTTTTGAGGTAGGGTCTCACTATGTGTACTTCAGGCCGGCCTTGAACTCACTATGTAGCTCAGGCTGGCCTCCAATTCTTGGCTCTCCCCGCATGTCAGCCTCCTGAGTGCTGGGATTATAGGTGTAAACCACCACATCCAGCTCTAATTTTTGTTTTTGTGGGTTGTTTTGTTTCATTTTGTATAGTCCTTTGACTCCATGACAGTTAAAAAGGGAAATTTTGCAGAAAGAGTATCAAAATACTCCTCAGTTCTATTTATAGTTTAGATTTCCTTTTCAAAACAAATCAAAGGTTAAGAAAATTTCATATGAATGTGCTGTGAATTCTAAATGCAGTTCATTGCAGTTTGGGAGGTGAGTAAAAGTGTGAGGGACATTCTATGAAATGAGTAAGGTTATTCATGGAAACTTTTAAAAATTTCAGATGCATTTGAAAATGAGATGGCAAAGAAAGTTAAACTTCAGAACATCTTGTCCCAGCTTCGAAAATGTGTGGATCACCCGTATTTGTTTGATGGTGAGGCAGTCCCCCTTTTCTTCACATTATTTTTCCATTTCCATTTCTTCAATGTTCTTCAATTTACTGGAATATAATATTTGTGGTAGTTTCTTGTAATCCTCTGTATTTTGGTGATGTCAGTTGTGATTTTGCTTTTTTCATTTGTAATTGCTTTGATATGGGGTTTTTTCTTTGCTTGTTTGGGTGAGTTTGGATAAGGGTTTATCACTCTTATCCTTTCAGAGAACCAACTCTGGTTCATTGTATTTTTTATTATCAATTTCAGTATTTTCCCCTCCAATCTTTATAATTTCTTTTCTTCTGTTAGTTTCAGGTTTGGATTGTTCTTGTTTTTCTAGGACACTGAGATTTTTCTTTAGGTTATTTATTTGAGATCTCTCTATTCTTTTAATATGTGCATTCACGACTATAAACTTCCTCATAAAACAGCTTTCATTTTGTCACATAGGTTTTGGTATGGTGTGCTTCCTTGTCATGTGATTCTGGGAAATTTTTATTCCCAGAGTTCTTCTGTGATCCATTGTTTATATAACAATGTATTATTCAATCTCCTTATGTTTGGATTGTGTCTGTCATTTCTTTTTTGGTTTATTTCTGACTATATTCTGTTGTGATCCAATACTATATAGGGGATTATTTTAATTCTTTTGTACTTATTTAAGCATCCTTTATAGCCTAAGATATGGACTATTTTGGAAAAATTTTCATGTGCTGGTGAGAAAAATGTGTTCTATTGTTGCGGGATAGTATATGGTAGATATCTGTTAAATTCATTTGTTCAGTGGTGTGGCTTCTCCCCACAGAGCGTGGGACTTCTGTGTCCTTTCCAACCCAAGCTTATGTCTGCTTAAATTTATCAGGGGGTCTGTGACTACCCTGCCCTCCCACCCCCACTGTGACTGTGTCCCACCCAGTCACTGCTGTGGTGTGACCCTGGGGACCCTGAAGTGTAGTTGTTCTGTGACTTCTGATTCCTGGAGGAACTGAGTCTTAAATTATAAATCCCTTCCCAAAATGGCCCTTTATCATCACTCCCAAATATGGCAGATGTTTCAGTGAATTTCTTTTCCAACTCTAGCCTGCTATGCAGAAGGATTTACTTTCAGAGTAACCCCACCCTCCACCATATTTGAGGCTTACAGTGATCATGAACTTTTCTTGTGGCTAGAGCTGCTGATCCAGTCTGTTATTTATCGCTGGGCTTCAGACCATCTCTGGGCTACCTACTCATTGTGGAGACAGGACCTCCTCCTACCTGGAAGCTGAAGTTAGCTTTTCAGGCTGTTTTATTCTTTTCTTTGCGTTGTCTTCAGTTTCTCTGTGATTTCTAGTTATCTTGTCCCCTCTTTGTAGATTCCCAGAACTCTATATCTTTTTCTCTTAGCTAAGTTGCTTGCAAGGAGTCTCAGCTCCTGGTATCATAGTCAGTGTTTTGCAGATGGCTTTTACTGTGCCATCTTTAATTCCTAAAAATTGTACTGAATCTTTTTTTTTTTCTTTTGATATTCAGGATCAAACTTGGGACCTTATACTTGGGAGGCAGGCGATGGCATCATTGAGCTAAATCCCCAGCCCTGTGCTGAATCGTAATTAGATGCACATTTTTCTTTTAAGGGTGTGTGTGAGGGTATTGGTAACATGTAGATTCCACTTAGCATTCCACACAGTCTGTCTTCCACTTTCTAGAGACCCTGAAGATTTCAATTTTGGATCTTTTGGATCTTTGGCGTTATCCTGTGCCTCAGTTTCCTGAAGAGTGCTGTTAGGCTTTTGGTTATACTGGCCTGTGTGATTGGTGTTAAGTAGCACTGAGACTATCATACAAAGAAATGATGAAATGCTGCAAACATGAGACTGGGCATATTTTCCATTAGAGGGAGTTTGGGTTCTGTTGCTGTAAGCTAACCTTTGTCTTTTCTACTCGTGGCATCTTTGTCATTAGGGCACATTATTGTGAGTTTGTTCTTTCTTTTGCAGGTGTAGAGCCAGAACCTTTTGAAGTTGGAGACCACCTGATTGAAGCGAGTGGGAAACTTTACCTGCTAGATAAGCTGTTGGCTTTCCTGTATTCTAGGTAGGTAGTATTACTGGGAGACTGGCTCCTAAAATGGTGAGGTCCTAAAACCATGAGGAACTGGCAGCCCACCTTGATTGTTTGTGCTTTTTTTTTTTTTTTTTTTTTTTTTTTTTGTTATTTTGTTTGTTTTTTTTTTTTTTTTTTTTTTTTGAGATGGGGTCTTGTTATATACTCCACAGTGATTGTACCAGTATATACTCCTACCAATAGTGGAGAAGGATTCCTTTTTCCCCACAACCCCACCAGCATTTATTACTGGTTGATTTCTTGATAAAAGCCATTCTTTCTGGAGTGAGATAGAATCTCAGAATTGTTTTAATTTGCATCTCTCAAATGACTAGTGATGTTGAGCTTTTTAAAATATATTTATTTGCCATCTCAACTTCTTCATCTGAGAAGTATCTGTTCATTTCAGATGCCCAGTTTTGGATTGGGTCTTTAAATTTGGGGGTCTGATATTTTTGTTATATATTCTAAATATTAGTCCTTTGTTTGAGGAACAGCTAGCAAAGTTTTTTTCCCCCACTCTGTGTGTTGTCTCTTCACTCTGTTGGTGGTTTCTCTTGCTGTGCAGAAGCTTTTTTTAATAAGATGAGATCCCAGTTGTTGATTCTTAGGGCTATTTCATGTCTGATTGGGGCTTTGTTCATAAAGTCTTAACCGACACCTATGTCTTCAGGAGTTCTACCTATTTGTTCTTCAGACAGATTTAGTGTTTCTTTTTTAATATTTAGGTCTTTGATCCATTTCACTTTTAGTTTAGTGCATGGTGAGAGATATAGGTCTAATTTTAGTCTTTGGCATGTAAAAAGCCAGTTTTTCCAGCATCATTTATTAACGATGCTCTCTTTCTTCCAGTAAAGATGTTTGGCTGAGTGTGTTTGGAGTTGTTTCTGCATCTTCTGATCTGTTCCATTGATCCTTAGGTCTTTTTTTTTTTTTTGCTAGTACCATGCTGTTTTTATCACTGTAGCTTTGTAATATAATTTCCAAGTCAGAGATTGTGATGCTCCCTCCCTTACCTTTGTTGCCCAGAATTGCCTTTGCTATCCTAGGTCTCTTCTGGTTCCAAATGAATTTTAGGATTGTTTTCTCTAATTCTGTTAAGTATGCTGTTGGTAGTTTGATCAGAATTGCATTAAATCTATATAACAATTTTAGGAGTGTAACCATTTCCTTCCCTTATTTTGGTATCAAGGGTAATGCTTGCTTCTAGGAATGACTTTGAGAGTATTACTTCCCTTTCAGTTTCATTAAAGAGTTTGAAGAGTAGTGGCATTAGATCTTCTCTAAATTTTTTGTAGCATTTAGTAGTGAATTTATCAGGAATTTTTTTTTGTTGTTGGTAGTTTTTGCTTTGGTACTAGGAGTTGAACTCTGGGCCTCGTGCTTGCCAGGGAGGTGCTGTAACACTGAGTTACATCCCCAGTCCCCTGTTGGTAGTTTTGTTTTTTGTTTTTTGTTTTTACTTCAATTTCATTGAATGATATTGGGTTATTTAGAATTTTTATATCATCTTGATTCAGCTTTGGTAATTCCTATGTATCTAGGAATTTGTCCATTTATTTTGTGTTTTACATCTTATTAGAGCACGGGTTCTTGTAGCAGGTATTGCTGATCTTCTGAATTTCTGTAGGATCTGTTGTGATTTCCCAATTCATTCAACCAAGCATGGATTTGAGTCTTTTCTTTCCTATTTATTTTATTTTTTGTTTTTTTGAGACAGGGTCTCACTGTGTAGTTGAGACTGACCTGGAACTCATTATGTGGCCCAGGGTGGTCTCGAACTCACAGCGATCCTCTTGTCTCAGCCTCCTGAGTGCTGGGATTACAGGTGGGCACCACCAGGCCCGGCTTCTCTTTCCTATTTTTGATAAGGTTGGCTAAGTGTTTGTTTATTTTATTTAATGTTTCAAAAGAACTAACTTTTCAATTCATTGATTCTTTGTATCATTTACTTAGTCTCAATTGCATTGATTTCTGCTCTGATCTTTATAATTTCCTAGCTTGTATACATTTTGGATTTAACCTGCTTTTCATTTTTTAGAAGTTTGAAGTTCAATATTATCTTATTTATTTGAATTTGTTTTGTTTTTTTCTGATGCGATAATTCAGCACTACAAATTTCCTTTGTAAGATTGCTCTCTTCTTGGCATTGTCTTTTTTTTTTCTTCTTCCTTTTATTGAGGTTGTTGGTACAATCTAGGTATACAATACAATTACATTCATCATTGGGATTCTGTACCTTCACATAATAGGTCTTGATTCTCATTTTTCCCCTTGTCCCTGCCCTCTCTTCACCCCCTCCTCCCCTCCCCATTTGCAAACACTTTATTTCCATTTTTTCAGTTTCTCATATTTTTTTCCTCTCCCTTATTACCTTTCCCCCACCCTTCCCACTTTCCCTACACCTTTAGCCCTTTACTTCCTATTTCACATTATTAATTATCTCATTAGGATCCTGTGTACTATTGTAGTTTTTCACACCAAAGAAACTATTTGGTATTTCAGTTAAAGAAATCTCTGTATGAACATTAAAAATAGGGAATCCTAAAATAAAACTAAGAAGGAAAGTAAAAGAGAAAAGGCAATGATGTAACATCAAAATAATCCTAAATTGTGGAGATGAAAATGGTCCCTGAACATATTTAAATTGCTTCTCGCTCTTATAGTCTTATCTTATTCTTTTTTTCATTATTTAGACATTATTTAGAATACTTTATTAGTTTCTGTAATCAAACCCACGTAGATATGACCTTACATATTTAGTACGATGTGTTACCCCTGTACACATGGAAAAAAATCAAAATAAAGTAACATTTCTAGACCAATATGTTTGTCTATTTCTGTACAATTGGCATTGTCTTTTAATTGTAGAAATTGTCTGATTTCTTCTTTAATTTCAAAATTATTTGGTTGCAGATTTGACAAAATTCCCCATGTCTGAACTATGCAAGTTAAATGATTGCATGTCTTAGTGTATTTTTTTGCCTTTGCTATACATTCCAAAAATGTGTCAGAGTTGGAGAATAACCCATAAATATCACCGCCTTACTTTTTCATTGCAGAGACTTAGAGAGGTCATGTGACTTGATCAAAGTCATGTGGCCAGCAAATGGCAGAGATAAGATTAGAGTTGAGGTCCTCACCTGCAAGTTCAGTGTTATTTCCACCTATTTTGGGCTTAAATCTTGTAGGCATTCTCTATAACTTTTCCTCTTACACATGCAACAAGTTTAGATTAAGTTAGTTTTCTTAATGAGAATATTATTTTGACAACACTATGATTCTTTATGAAATTTTAAAATAATGTGTCTAAGCCTAGAGCCCTAATGTCAGTCTTAATAAAATCTATAATTTTGCCTTCTTTCCTATCCCCTCCGTACATATAAGTTTTTTCATGTCATGGGAAATGAGATGTCACCTGCCCCTTGTTTCTTTAAAGTGATGTTTCTCAGACTTTGAACCAGTGTCCCATATACAGTAGTGGCATTTATTCCCAGGGAGCTGTAGGTAGCCGACCATGAGTTCTTCAGGGTCTCATGACCAACACACGCACATGCATTTAAATTTTACCTTTTACTCTTCATGTGTTGTATATAATTTGCTGTTAAAATGAAAGGTTATATTTCTTTCCATTGAGTGGATTGACATTGCAGGAAGGGGCTCCTTGGTTATTTTAGGGTTTCGCATACCCCCTGGTACATTTTCACAGCCTCTGGGAATACTCCACGCTGGTCTAAGAACTGCCTCTTTGAAGGATACTGCTGCACATAGAGGCATATTTTTATGTAAAGTATTCAGAATTTTTGAGAAAGTCTCTGTAAACTATATGACATAGTTCTACTTTAGCGTTTCATTATTTATAAACTTGTATTTGTTAAGTTTTGCCTGAGGGAGACTCACGTTGGACACTACTCAAGTTGGCAGTTTCTCCTTTTTGTTTCCTCCCCAGGGGCCATCGGGTTTTACTTTTCTCCCAGATGACCCAGATGTTGGATATTCTTCAAGACTATATGGATTACAGAGGTGACTCTCCTTTATCACTACGTTACCTGAGCCTTTTTTAGATTTGATAGTCAGATGGGTCCCTGAAGACTAATACGAGGTGTGATGATGTTAGAGAGGAAAGCAGTGCAAGAACTTTACTCAGAATCAAAAGAAGATTAAAAAGTAAAGATTGTGGAGAGTGCTGTGTGAAGCAGGGGTTGATAGTGAGGTAGAGATGCATAAGCAGAAATAAATATCCACATTCCTATCACTTACGTGATTCAGAATTGTGGGCAATGGAGCAAATGTTGCAGAAATGTTGAGAGTTTTTGAAAATGTGTGATAAATTTAGAGTTTAAGTGACAAGAACTTTGTTTTGTTGTAACAACACTTAACATTTGAGCACTTATTTGGGATTAGTAAAAAGATGAATGTTAAAATTATGGAGGTGCCACAAAGCAAGGAGACTGAAGGGTAATTTCAGTTATTTGTATATAGATAACAGGGAATGTAGGGAAAGGACTCTGTTTAACATATAATAAAATTTATGTGGGAGAAAGGGGAAAAGCTGTAACATTGGTTGAGCTTGAATCCAGTAGTGAAGTATTGGCTGTAAATCTTACAGTTTGAAAAACAGATCCTGAGCAGGTCTCTCAGACCCACTTAATGGTCCCCGAGTGCTGCAGCGTGCCTGGTCCCGCAGATACCTGCAGAAGTGCTGTAGCGGCACGCGGAAGAAACCCCACGGCACAAACATGGCTTGCATTCACATCTCTCCTTCCTGATGGGTGCCTGGTGATAGTGGATGGGAACCCTAAAGCTTCTTTGAAAGGAAGGTGCCGGGCCACCGAGCAGGCTTGCTCACCTGCTCTCATGTGCTCGTCTTACTGTTTGCCTCAGTAAGAACTGTGTCTTAGTGAGTGCAAACTGCACAGAATATGAACATTTGGGGCTGCTGAGGAATGGTCAGAACTGAGCATTAACTCCGTAAATGCCAAAGACTTCGACTGCACATATTTAAAAAACAGTAATATGTTATGGTATGTTCTTTTGTAAAGTGATGAATTATCCACCTAAATTTAGATTATTCACGTGAGATTTATTTACATAGGGCCATGCCTACTTATGGACAGGGACAAAATTTGCATTTTTTTTTTTTTTTTTTGAGGCAGGGACTCACTATGTAGTTCAGGCTGGCCTTGAACTCACTATGTAGCGCACACTAACCTCGAATTTGCAGCTGTCCTCCTGCCTCAGCCTCCAGAGTACTGGGATTACAGGAGTGTGCCACCATGCCTTCCAGCCTGCATCTGGTTTTGAACTGACTTAATTTTTCATTTCCCAGAGTCCTCACGAGGATTTAAGATTTTCCTGTGTTTTGTTTTGTTTCTGTATATGTAAAGGTTATAGCTATGAGCGTGTGGATGGCTCTGTGAGAGGAGAAGAAAGGCACTTGGCCATCAAGAACTTCGGAGAGCAGCCCATTTTTGTTTTTCTCCTGAGTACCAGAGCAGGTAGGCCATGTGGGTACTGGGTAAAAGGTGTATAGTGCTTTCAAATCCCGGCCACTAGTGCAGTTTCCCATGATTATATGAAAGGTGAGGTTATTCCTGAGTATAAAAAAGAAGGGACCTGAGGTCATTCACATGATTTATCAAGGTATTGGACTTTTAGCATGGTACTCTTTTGTGTCCAACCTATTCAAGCTATGGTTTCATCCGACAGTTGGGACTGAAATCTGGAATGGTTGGAAAGTACTTCTGCTCTGCTATGCCTCTCAACCTAGGAATGTCCTGAAAGATTTCTGTACTTTTGTGGAAAGTACAACTGTGGGAAGTTTTGTTTACATTTAAGTGAAGCACCTCTTTCCCATGAATTTGATAAATAAGGTAACCTCTTTGGTAGATGCCCTTCCTCTAGAAAATCTCTGGCACAATGTGATAAAAGCTTAACAAGCACCTAGGTGTTTAAAGTGAGGTTATAATAAAACTGCCAGTGATTTAAAATTACTTATGACAGGAAATATGATTTAAATCATAAATATTATATATGATAAATGTGTTGCTTTACCCATTAGAGAGTGCCTTCATTATACTAAAAAATAGTTTGAAATCAGCCAGGTGAAATCAGTGCATGACTATAATCCCAGCAGTTGGGAGGCTGAGGCAGGCGGATTGCTTTGAGTTCAGAGCCAGCCTGGAATACCTACATAGTGAGTTCATGGCCAGCCTGAAGTACATAGTGAGACCCTGTCTCACAAACAAACAAAAAATTGTTTAAGATCAGTTTGAAGAGATGAACTTTTTCTTATATCCTGGAACAACCAGACCTTAAATTAGTTTTGAACTTGTAACCTTAGTTTTATTATCTTATTTTTTTGTAGACCTAAATTCTGATGGAGTAGATGCCAGAATACAAGAAGATATGTCCTCTATTAAAGAGAGATCAGCATATTTATGAAAAGAGTTCAGTCTTATTTAGAAAGAATTTATTAAGTACTATAAAGGTATATAAAAGAAGTGTCAGGTACAGTCCCGGAGCAGGATTGTTTCACCACTGTATCTTACCTTTGTAGTAATGTCAGTAAGTAGTATGTGATCAGAGTCACTGGGCTGTACTCTTCCAGGGTCACGGGCCACACCCCTTATCTCAGCCATGTATTCATGTGGTCAGGAGTCTCAGGGGCAGCCTTAGGGAAAAACTAGAAGATCAGGCCAAATGTTGGGAAAACAATTCCACTTAAGCTTTGAAAGTTTCTTCATATTCGAGAACAGCACCATGTTTGAAATGTCTAAAATTAGGAGAAAGTTATTTCCACTTTTTAGCTAACCTCCTTGTCAGATGCCAAGTAGATCATTTAGGAGCGGAAGCAGACCTGGACATTAGCCTTTTCCAAATATTGTCATGTTTGCCAACACAATTTTGTAGAGCTTTACAGCGTTTTCGGTTTACTTAACAGGTTTCCCTCCAGCTTCCACGTATTTCTGATTGAGCCATGGTACCACCAGGTGGCAGTGATGGCTCATGACTGTTGCAAACACCTCGATACAGCCTATTTATAAAATTATCCCCCTTAGTGAACAAGAGCTGAATTCAAACAACATTAGCCCATGGAGATAATTTTTATGGAATACGTTTTTAAATGAAATAGTGCCTAGGCGATACTAGAGTAGCATGTAAAAGCACAGTTTAGAGCTGAGTGCTGTGGTACTCCCCTGTATCCCCAGCTACTTGGGAGGCTGAGGCAGGAAAGTTGCTTGAACCTATAAGTTAAGGCCAGCTTGGGCAACATTGCAAGGCTTTCAGCTCAAAAGCAAATAAACAAAAACTAGATTCTGGTGCCAGATCATGTGGAACTAAATCCTGGCTCTTTTATCTTCTGGCTGCACAACTTCATAAAGTCCTTTAACTGTTCAATGTTTCTATTTCAACACCTAAAAATGGTGATAATAATAGGACCCCAGGGTTCTGATGAGGGTGAAAGAAGTTAACATATTAAAATACTTAGAACAATGCTAGGCAAGCAGTAAATAGCATAAATGCAGCTGTCATTATGTGATATACAGCATGTAGCATCTCTTGGTAATCAGTCATTATTATATCTTTGTTCTAACATTAATTTTTTTATGAAGACTTTAATTAGCATGTTTCTGCCTGACTTGCCTTGAGATCCAGTTGTGAATTGGTAGTCCTGAAAAGCAATCCTTCAGTCCGGCTCTTGGCACAAGCCCTTTCAGGCTTACTTGGTTTCGAAGTGAGCTCTAATGACCCTGGCAAGAGTGAGCCTGTTTTATACTAGTTTTCACATTAATCAAAGAGAAGGCTATAATTTGTTTCACGGTTCTTTCAATTCCCAGAACTCAAGGTACCTGCTCAGGTCTTTTCATGTAGCAGTGAAGAAAGATCAGAAAGGTGTTTCATGGAGTGTTCTTGTCTTGAATTGGTTTTGTTGACTTGCCTTTGATTAATGTGGTTGGAAGTACAGGGAGACTGGCTGAAGTTTTCTCCAGTCAGAGGGAGGGAGTTTGCCACTCTGTTCAGGGTATCATCCCCTGTTTTCATTAACCTAATTAAGGGTCTTCTTAGTTGTAGTTTGCAAGCATGGCTAAGTTCTCTCCTCTTAGTAATGCCCACAGCAGACCTCTTTCATATTTAGATCTGTTTTCTGAAAGAACATGGGTCCCTTTTCACAGACTAATCAAAATACGATCGATATTTTTAAACCAAAGAAATTGTCATCATGGCTTTAAGGCACTAAATTAAGCATCCTCTTGCTATATACTCTTGCTTCCGTTGTTCTGTTGTAATTTTTGTTGTTGTTTTTTTCTGATACCAGAGATCAAACTCAGGACTTTGTGCTTGCAAGGCAGGCATGTTACCACTGAGCTAAATACCTGGCCCTATTTTGTTGTAATTAATTTTTTTAATTTGTAGTACTAATGATTACATTTCTTGTGGAGAGTTTATACATGACACATGACACATCTTAATTCCTTTTATTCATTCATTTTCCCTTCCCTCTCTCCCCATTCCAGCCATTGATTAATCCCTCCCCTTCCTTTTTTTGGTACATGTTTGTAGTACATAATGTTTACATTCCTTGTGTGAAGTTAGTACATATTCATAACACATCCCAAGTCCTTTTTTCATCCCCTCCCCTTCTCCTTTGAGAAAGATCTTTCTCCCTGCTTCTTATTATCCATCCTTTATTTTGCTCTGTATTTATACTTTGGCTTTCTCATACAAGAGAAACCATGAGCTATTAAAGCTTGTATGTCTGATTTATTTCACTTACTTGGTCTCCAGGTGTATCCATTTTTCTACAAATGACTCAAGTTTGTCTCTATGGCAGAGTAGTACAACAATGCTATTGTATTTTGTAATTAAATTTTCCAAATCAGACAATGTGAAGTCAGGCAGCTTTTTTGATCACTGCAAGGCTTGTGGATTGGGGGCCAGGTGTCAGTTTGAAGGATGAACTCTGTTGATTTGACTGATTTCAGTTTATCAGCGTGGCCCAGTGTAGCCTCATCTTTATTTTCCAGTTCCTCACCTATGTGCTGTTGATCATACTCCTTTTTGCATTATTTCAGGTGGAGTTGGCATGAACTTAACGGCCGCCGATACTGTTATTTTTATTGACAGTGATTTTAATCCTCAGAATGACTTGCAGGCAGCTGCCAGGGCTCACCGAATTGGCCAGAACAAGTGAGTGAGTTGAGCATTGGCATCTTTGTGCTTTCTTGACTTGTTTGGTTGGGGAGGAAGGAGTGTAGTCCCGGTGACTGGGAGTTGAGACCCCTGGGTTTTCGCTCAGCATTGCTGCTGACTCTTAGCATCGTGTCGAGTGGGTCACGTTACCAGTCCAGACTAACTTTGTGAGAAGAGCAAAGTTAAATTGTGAAAGGATTAGAAGGAGCCTTTAGAAGTCTTTTTTAACTAGACACTAACTCAGTTAAAAAAATGAGGTTAAGGGATTACAGATAAGCTAGAAGATAGTTGTTTCCTTTTGGCCTGAGATGATGTATATGTGCTAGAGGTTTTCCTTGGCCAGAGATAAGGAATCCCACATATGGTCACCTCAGCTGGCAGTGAGCATAGAATAAAGAGGATGGGCTTTGAGCCATCTCACATGGATCCATATCCAAGCCTCACACTCACTGGCTGTATGACGGTGAGCACGTACCTTAACCTCCTGGGCCTGCTCTTTTGTGCAGTTCTAAAAACAAGGATGCCACTAGTTACCTTAGAATTTAATGCTAGATCTCTTTAATGCTCAAGTCCAGTGAAAGAGAGTCCTTTTAACTGTACACTGAATATGGTATTTAGTTTTGTATCCTGCTAGGTGTATTTACTGGCATGCTTTTCCCCAGCTTTCTAGACTCTGACAGCACACTGCTCTTATTTGATGTATGCATAGGTCTGTTAAAGTTATTCGGTTGATTGGCCGAGACACTGTGGAAGAAATAGTCCATAGGAAAGCAGCCTCCAAGCTTCAGCTCACCAACATGATCATAGAAGGTGGCCACTTTACTCTGGGAGCCCAGAAGCCTTCAGGCGATGCTGACCTCCAGGTAGAGTATGTTGTTCTTCTCTTTGGACTAGACACGATTTATAGTTAGTGCTCTCTGTGGATGAGTATGTAAGTAACTAGCATTAACCACTCACTGTCGTCAGCTGTACAGTTGTTCTCTAACTCATTCCTGCTATAGAATCTTCTATGTGCAAAGTGCTGTAGGAAATAAAAATGAGTATGGGACATATGGGGGTAGAATACAGAATGAAGAGGATTGGCTTTGAGCCATCAAACTTGGGCTTGAAGCCTCATCATTCATTGGCTGTGTGGTTCTGAGCAGACATGTATCTACTTTCTTTTTGCTGTTTTAAAAATAAGGATGCCACTATTGCTTCAGAAGGCTCCTAAGTGACTTAGATTGAAAAAAAGAGAGAACTGACCATAATCAGTAATGATTGATTCCATATTTCCTTCTTAATCCCAGACCCTTTGATCAGTGGCTTATAATTCTCATTTTATACTCAGAGACGGATGAATAAGACTGAGAACTCAAAATCATGCAATAGAAAAAAATGAAATAATTAGATTTAATTTGCTTGAAGAAAGGAAAATTAGGTGAGAATCAAGTACTAGAATTGAAGATTCTAGAGAGATCTCCCTTTTGGAAGAAGGCGGAGGGTTATTTGATAGCAGCCCTGGAGTTAAAATTAAAACCCATAAGTTATAATATATCCTAGGTCCTTTTAAGGTGTTGGGTACAAAGAGACCAACTCCTAGGGTTCTAGGAAGACAGGCTTGGAGTAAGATAAATGTCTGATAAGGGTAGTAGCAGAGGGAAGGTCTGGTGTGAGAAACTTTGCAGAGAAGAAAAGACAGGAGTTGTTCTGAGGTGGGCAGCTAGGGAGGTAGAAAATTCGAAGATGGATGTGAGGCTTTAAACCTGGGTGACAAGAAGAAAAGTTAGGAAGATAGGCGGTTGGGCAGAGTTACATAAAGATGCAGATGGCCTAGGCTTTAGTCTATGAGATGTGTAGAAAAAACACAATATAAACATAGGCTGTTGTTAAAGGAAGACTCAGAGACAAGAAAAAGGATTACGTTTAGAAAAGTTTGTATGAAAAACCAGGCTTTAGAAGGAATAGCATACTAAGAAATACAATAGGTAGGGAGAAAAGTTACACAATATTATAAGCAGAGTTACCAAGTTTATAGTTAGTCCAACCATGGATTTAAAAACAGCATTTTCCTTACACATATTTTCATCTTTACTTACCAGCATTGCAAAGACAAAGGATCTTGTGGTTTTTTAAAAAAATTCTTTTGGTACAAGTTTGCAGTACATAATGATCCCATTCATCATCATGGGGAATTTGTACATGTGCGTAACACATCTTTTTTTTGGGTCTCTTTCCCATACTCTTACCTCCAACCCTTCTTCCTCTCCCAGTTTACCAAAGTTCTATTGCCATTCCCCGCCGCGAATTCTTTTTTTGGTGGGTATTGGGGATTGAACTCAGGACCTTGCACTTGCAAGGCAGGAACAGTGCCACTGAGCTGAATTCCCAGTTCCCCTTAATTCTTTTTTGTTAGGGAGTGGAAAACTTACAGGAAAGCCTGAACTTTTATTTATTTGGGCACTAGTACTAAAAGAATAACTGTAGGTTTTGTTTGTTTGTTTTGTTTATCTTAGGGATGAGTGTCCATGTTTTTCCCTCTGCTTTTCCTATGTGTTTTGTTGCTGACTCTGGCTTGTGCATCTCCTCTGTAATGGTGGAAGAGCATGCTGTACACTTTATTTTCACCCTGTCAAAGAGGCAATTACAAATGTAAGATGAAAGGTTGAGAGAGAGGTAGGAGCACACTGTAGAGACCCCTAAATATAGCACTCCACAGTACCTGGAGAGATGAGTTCATACTGGGGGTAGTGCAGAGGGTGACAGCCCAGAAGGCCCACATTCTGAGTGTCAGAGGATGATAGTTCTCCATATGATGCTAAGACTCTGTCTCTGCAGGGAACTCGGTGTTTAGCTGGGGATGGCCTGTGCCATGGGCTGCTGGCATGACAGTGTGAGGCTGGCAGATGTACCTCCCTGCAACTGGCCAACAGTTGTGGGAACTTAGACTGCTTGACAGGGCCTCTGTGAGTCTTCCCTCCTGGCACGTGGTTGTTAGAAAATTGCTTTCTGCCTCTGCTGTCTGAATTCTCTTTCCCATCCGGACTCTATGAATTAGTTGTCAGAAACATAGGTACTAACCCAGTGTCCTCATCTCAAAAGAAAGCAAGAGATTATTATTTTGTTTTTGTTTTTGTTTTTTGTTTTGGTACCGGGGATTGAACTCGGGTCCTTGCGCTTGCAAGGCAGGCTACCGAACCGCTGAGCTAAATCCCCAGCCCAAGAGATTATTTTTTAATAACAACAATCTAATAGTAAAATGATATAGTTTTGACATGATAAATCTTAAGTCATAAAGAGTTGTAAAGTCATGAAAAGGAAGGAGGCTCATCATCACGCAAGAAGAATACAGTGGAAACAGAAAGATATAGATGTGTGATAATTACTATAGGCTAATTATTATCTGTGTTGCTTCTTTCCAATTGTTTCAGTGAATAAAAATAACAGAATGAGTGGGCACTACCTTTATCCCCATCTTAAGTAATTTACCTAAGGTCATTCAGATTTAGGTCCAATCTGCACCTTCTCTAGCCTCCATCCACATGCCCTTAATTACTATAACATGCTGTGTTGCTTAAAACACAGGTAGCGCCTTAATGACTAATTGCACTCTTTTGTCCTTTCAAGTTGAGTGAGATACTCAAATTCGGCTTGGATAAACTGCTGTCCTCCGAGGGGAGCACCATGGATGAAATCGACCTGGAGTCCATCCTGGGAGAAACCAAAGATGGCCAGTGGGTCTCTGATGCTTTGCCCACAGCAGGAGAGGGGAGCGGAGAGCAAGAGGAAGGAAGTGAGTTAGTGGTTAAGACAGAGCAAATGGCTGACTGGAAATGTATCTTGCTTTTCCCTGGTAGCTGAACTGTGAACTCACAATATTGTTGCTTATGGTCATCTCATTCTCCAGGATTCAATTTGTATCTTTCCTCCCTGGGTTGTAGGTATCTTCTCCTTTAATTATTGGTAAAGCTGACTGTTTCTAACCACTTAACCCTTTAGCCTGAGCGTCACTTGGACAGAGCATTTGTTTACATACTGTTTACACTGGGCACGGCTCGGGTAGGTGTCATTTTAACCAGTCGATTCTTGTTTGCATGAGATGCACTCGCACATCTGTTTATTTGTTTTACTTGACTACTTCTTGAATACTTTTTTGTTGTTGTTGGTACTGGGGATCGAACTCGGGCAGTTGTGCTTGCTAGGTAGGCTGTGGAACCACTGAGCCACATCCCCAACCCTTGAATACTTTTTAATTTAGAATATTGTATTCACCGTTGATGTTCATTTCTAGTGCTATCTAGTAAGTTCTGGTTATTTTCTTTTACTCCTTTTGTTTATTTTATTTGTGAAAAGTAACCTATAATTTTGTGCTACAGTCTATAAAAACTTACTGTAAGTACATTAGAAATAATTTTTATACTTCTCCAGAACTCAGTAATACTCTTTTACAATACAAAATGGACATGTTTGGGATATTGACACTGAATAGGAAGGAATTGCCAGAGAGGAAAACTCTGTGTCACAAAATGACAGACAAAAGGATGTCTCCTTTTATCAACTGTTCATAATACAAAAATGATAGAGCTTGGAATGAAACAAAAAATTTCAGTAATGGTCAGTGATTATAATAATTCTGTGGGTGATGTTGACAGAGCTGACCAATATCTGACAGCCATCCTGTAATCAAAAAGTGAGAAAAAAATATAAAGTATTTATGCACCTTCTGGACCAAACAGTATGGAACTTCTTTGTTATTTATTTGAAATAACGGGGTTCAAAAAGTCATTTATAATTTAGATTAAGTCTCATAGGCAAACAGTTGAAAAATATGGGATAGCGAAATGCCAACCAGTCTGTATCTTTACCATGTTTAGGGTAGACATTTTATCGAAATTGTGTCACCCATAGAAAAAAAGGAAAGGTCAGTGTGATAGTGTAGTGTGTTGTTAAAAGAAAGACAGTAATGCAAAAGAAATAGGAAAGAGACTAGACACTGCTCTCCAGATTGTAATGTTGTGTTGTATAGTGAACATTTTAAGACATACAATACACAGAAAAATCATTGAATTACTTTGATAAAATTGTCACTTTTATATTTCCTGTTATATTATCGTATAAAAATTAATGAAAAATATGCAGTTTTTGGTCATCCTGTATTTAAGTAATTGGGCTGGTAGGTGGTTAAAATGCTGCTAAGCTGAGTGATTCCTCTTCTGCATAGTTGAATGACTTGTTTAAATGACAGCTAATTACAGCTAATGTCGATTGAGCATTTATTGTGTGCACATCCACAATGAAGACTCTGTCATGTCTTTGTACCTTTTCCCATTTCCACTTACTAGACCCCCTGAAGTGTAGGAGATGATATCATCTCTTTCGCTCCTTTTTTTTTCTTTCTGAATTTGGTCAGCATTTCTCTTTTTATACTTGGCATATTTTTTCCTTTTGCAATACTGGGGATTGACCCCAGGGCCTGTGTGTGCTTAGCATCTATTCTGAATTTTTGAATTTGGGATTTGAAATGTTATTTTTCACTTAGTACCTTTGTAATGATGTTTCCTAGTATCTATAGTTATTGTGAAATGATTGTACCAGGAGCAACTGGGACTCAATATAGGGTTGAGAGGTTTGGGAGTCTCACAAGACTGCTTAATTTGGGCTGGGGATGTAGTTCAGTGGTACCGTGCCTGCCTCACAAGCACAAGGTCCTGAGTTTGATCCCTGGTACCAAAAAAAAAAAAAAAAAAAAAAAAAAGACTTCTTATTTCAAGAGTGCCTGCTACCAGGGAAGCACATTGTCTTTTCTAGATGGTGTCTTCTTGTTTTGGTGGGAAGCGGACTGGGCCTGCCTTCTGGTTTTGTCATTCTCTTTTGTTTCTGTAGGAACTTGGATTTTGATCGCTTACTTTCTTCTTTCTCTCTGGCATAAAACTGTCAAGAGATGTCTCCCTTTTCTTGTCTCTCTTCCTCACATCAAAAAGCAGTGCCTTCCCAAATTTCTTGCTGCATCTATGTTCTAGTAGCTATTTCCCTTATCTGCCAGGTCTCAGACCCATATTCTTTCTCATTTGGGGAGTGACCCTCATTTAAGGGGTTAAATCTTATCTGTCTGATGCTTCTAGAAGCCCTGTTTTCTGTCTTTCATGCAGTCTGACGTGAGAGAGGAAAGAGGGCTTCTAGCACTCACTGACTGGTCTTGTGTGGGCTTTGGAGTTGGCTTAGCTGGTTTTGGATGGTCGTTTCTCTACTAACCTGCAATGGAAATTTATTGTATTTCCTGACTCTTAATTTTGTAGCAGGCATGGGTTAGTGGTAGTTTTGTTATCCTTGTTGATATTAATGATTTTTATAGGATGTGTAGAAAAATGAGAATTTAGGCAGCAGGTATTATTCTTTGACTTTTTTCACATTTTATTCTTAAAACCCTTGATAATATCATCCCATTTATTTTCTGCAAAAACTCTTTCTTGTTGTCTTACTTGTGTCCTGTTTTTATTTCAAGACATAATGTCCCCCCTCAGGACATTTACTGGAGGATATTTACTATATCTTTTTAAAAAACCCTACTTCTAGCTGCATTGTTTCTTTTTCCTCCAGTTGTTTCCTAAAGTGTCTGGTGTTTCTGGCTGTCTCAATGCCATGCTAGTAGAAGCCCACAAAGCAGAAGGACAGCTCTATGGTGAGCAAGGAGGTGGGCTCTTAGGCTAATTCCAGCATCACAGACAGAGCCTTCCTGGATGCCCACATGCACAGTCTTTGTCACTGGGTGACTTCTTTTCCCCAAATATAAGTCCTGAGGATTAGCGTAAACCTATTTACTTAAATTAAAAAGACAGGCCAGGTGTGGTGGCACATGCCTGTAACCCTAGCGTTCTGGGAGGCTGAGACAGGAGAATTGCAGGTTCGGTTCCCCTCAAACAACTTAGCAATTTAGCAAGACTCTATTTTAAAAAAGAGGCTAGGGATGTAGCTCAGTGTTAAGGCTTTGGGTTCAAGCCACAGTATAACAACAACAACAAAAAAAAAAAAAAGGAAGAAAGAGAGGGGGTTCATGGTCCTCCCATTATTTGGTGTGCAGACCTTCTATCGGTCCCTCTATCTATAAGTCCTAAGCTTTTGCGGATCCAGGTTCCCACAGTCACCCCTGAGCTGGGCACCTACTCTTCCATTGTTCTCATTATCCTTCCACCCACTTTCCATTTTGCAGAGTTACTGAATTTTTTTCATTTACTGTTGCCTCATATATCTTCTTAAAAATCCCTTTACTGTCATTTAGTAGTTTCAGATGAGAGAAGAAATAGATCTATATGGTCATATTTTTAAGTTATATTTGATTTCCTTAAATACCAAAGCTTACACCCATTACTGCATTCATCTAGATTAAATTTATCTTATTCTCCTAACATTTACTAGAATAAGATAAAACTGCACTGTTTTCAGAAAGATGATTGTATTTCTCAGCCAATCCAACTCTCTTAAAAGTTGTATTTTTTTTTTTCAGACTGACCAAGTGCCAGAAAGATTCCCCAGATGGATTAAAATTTGGAATGTTGTCTTTGATGAATGGGTCTGGGTTCGGTCTGTGGTAGATGGTTCCGCAGGCCAGGTGCAGGGCATGATCCAGACCTGTGGGCTCCAACGTCCCATTGGCTGCACAGTGCAGACTTGGAGGAAGATTGAAAACATAAATGAATACGAAGGACTGGTAGTTAAAGCAGCCCCAATCAAAATTACATAAAAAACAAGGTTACTTTATCTTGAATGCCAGGGTTTAAAAAAAACCACATTATATGACAAGTTGAGAAGTTCATGCAGTAGGAAGCCACATATGTTGATCATATCTGACACTTCTTAGCTCTTTATTTTTTTCCCCACTTGTTGAGTGCCTCATTGAAAGCCCCCTGCTGATTTAATTAGCAAATGCCAATTAGAATTACAGCTGGTTAGATTTGGGTACAAGTGTGAAGCAATTGATCTCTTGAGAATGAAAATGTTTTGCTTTCCTGCTCTCTAGGGAAAACATACTTGTAGCTGATTTCATAATGCTGAGAAATTCGTTATTTGGTAACATGTGCTATTAAATACGCTTCACTTTAGAACCAGTGCCTTACCTGTCTGCAGTTGCCAGTCTTGGCTGGTTAGCACTTGATTCACGATCTTGGCCAATCACCAGCCTCCTTGAGTCTTTGTGTCCTCATCTGTAAAATGGTGCTATTAATGTCCGCTGTACTCTTACACAATTGGAGAAATCAAGCACATGAAGAGATGTGAATGTGCTCTGATGGCATAAAGTGCTATTCAGGATTACATTATTGTCCTTACTGTTGTCACCGTAATCATTGTTTGCCAGCCTGTTCTCTCCACTTTTTCTATGCACTGAAAAAAGTACACTGGCCTTAGAATCAGCAGGTCCTGCCTTCTTCATTTATTAGCAGTGAGATTAAGGAGTCTCTTAACCCCTGTGCAAGCTGCAGTTTCTCTTTTCCTAAGTGGGGTTAGTCATATCAGGATTGAGGTGAGGACCATGAAGAAGCCTTTTGAGATTTGTAGAGTATTATAAATCCAATTATTTTTGTGAGTTTTCATTTTCTCATAGACTTGCTGCTTATTCCTTTTAATATTATAGGAAATGGGGGAAAGTTGAGTATTAAAAGTGTTTGGGTTTTTAAAAATTAGAGATTTTATTAGGTTTTATTTTTTAAATTACTGAGATTTGTGCTGAGGAGTAGTTGTGGAGTGAACAAGTTCTGTAATTTGAGACTCATCAAGGTGGAGGGATCCTGTAGAGATTCACCCATCATCTGGGTGGCACAAAAGGGGTTTAATGCACCTTTTCGCAGTTCTGGGAATTAAGCCCAGGTGACCTCTACCAATGAGCTATATCCTTAATCCTTTTTTTATTTTGAGACCAGATCTCACTGAGTTTACAAGGCTGCTCTTGATCTTCCTGCATTAGCCTCCAGAGTAGCTGGGATTTTAGGCATATGCCATCATGCCAGGCTTCCAACAGGTTTTAAGCCATGCTGTGTCCCTGAAAAGTGAGTGTATGGATTTTCACTGAGAACCCAACCTCATCAATGTTGGTGTGACAGGAAGTACAATACTTTTGTCACAGGCTTGTCTTGGTCTCTTTAGAATATGGTCCTTTCTCTTGTTTGCCCTAATTATTACTTCAAATAGCATTAATCTATCTCTCAGTGTCTGACATTTTACCCTTTGTGTTTTACATTTTAGAAAACCACATGTACTTATTTGAAGGTAAAGACTATTCTAAAGAGCCCTCTAAGGAAGACAGAAGATCATTTGAACAACTAGTGAATCTTCAGAAAACCCTTTTGGAGAAAACAAGTCAAGAGGGCCGGTCACTCCGAAATAAAGGCAGTGTGAGAACTGATAATTTGTCTAAAAGCATAAATATTTCCAAAGTGTCATCTTAAGAGAATAAAAAAGAATGTTGGAATCATTTTGTTCCCTTAGGATGATTTATTGAGAAATAAGTATGTGTTTGTTGCCATATAACCATTAACTAAACCTTAATATAAAAACTACAAAAAATTGGCATAATAAACATTTGAAAAGTGAATATATTATGTGATTAATGCTGGTCAAAGTAGCACCCCTAAAGGGATGACTGTATTACACCAAAAAACTGTCTGTTGCTTTTGATAAGCATGGCCCTGCATCATTAAGCAAGGATGGCAATCATAAATGATATATGTAAATTCACATTGTTTGGTGCTGTGTGCCCACTAAATGTTAGCTACCATTAACATAATCATGATGTTGAAATGTTCTGTTTTAAAAGATTTATATAATACATTTGCTGAAAGATTTCCATCAAAATTGGTTAAACTTAAAATGGCATAGGGCCAGGGATTTAGCTCAGTGGTTCGGTGGCCTGCCTTGCAAGCGCAAGGACCCGAGTTCAATCCCCGGTACCAAAAAATAATAATAATAATAATAATAAAAAAAATAAAATGGCAACCTACAGGGTAATGCTTTCAATCAAGAAAAAAAAAGTTACTATTCTGAATTTCCTAATTCCTAATGAAATGAATCAGAATGACCGTACAATCCCACCAGTGCTCTGGCTGAGTGCAGAGCACAGTGGCTGCTGTGCCTACGAGATGCTCAGTATCTTGCCGTACATTGCAGTACCTTGCCGCCAGTTCCCACCATGCAGGAGGAATGCAGGACAGCACGGAGGTGCAGTATTTTTGTGAAACACTAAGCATGTTGCTTCTGTACAACATGTGCTTTAGCAGTGAATGAAGCTCATGGGAGAGCAGGCAGCTCCTGACCTTCCTGGCTGTGAATCTTGCTCTTCCTACAGGTTCTTGTCTCAGGCCTTGTGGAGGGTTCTAGCAAAAGGAAGCAGATTCTGAGCCCTGGAGAACTGGAAGATAGATGGAAGAAAAGACAAGAAGCAGCAGCCAAGAGGAAGAGACTGGCAGAGGAGAAGAGGAGGCAGAAGGAAGAGGCTGAACATAAGAAAAAGTATGTCTGTTATGAACTTAGCCAAGGGTCACAGTCACTGAAGGTGTCACAGACATGTAGAGCGAGCAGAGCTAGCTGCCCATCAGTTTAAGAACAAAAAGCTTTTATCAAGCTGCTAGTTCCTGTTGGTAGCAGAATACTTCATAAAAGATTTTACTTGAACATTTAGTCTCCTTTAGTGAAAAACCCTGAGTGCCTAAGGCAGAGAAGATGCATTCCATTGAATAAGAAATTTTGAAGATTTTATTATAGCTTTGTGACAAGGAGTCATTTATTTCAACAGTCCCTTTGAGTCATATTCTTAAACACAGGGACATTTGGTGGGTGCTCATTATTGAAGTGTAGTCAGGAGGCAGGCTAAACAGGAAGACTTGTGTATTTACAAATTAAGCGCAAAACTTCAATCAGGGTGAGCTTTTAATTGCATTCCACTTGGCAGTTATTATTTGTGAATAGCAGTGCAAAAATGTGCTCCCAGGGGAGGTTGATTTCCTTTTGTCTCTGGCCTGTTGCAGGATGGCCTGGTGGGAGTCCCACAATTACCAGTCTTTCTGCCTGCCCTCCGAGGAGAGCGAGCCAGAGGACCTTGATGGGGGCGAGGAAGAGAGTGCCGCTGAGCTGGATTACAAAGACCACGACTCAGCCTCCATCCAGTATGTCAGCGGTGATGTCACCCACCCACAGGCCGGGGAGGAGGATGCTTTCATCGTGCACTGCGTAGGTAGGAGAAGTGACGTGAGACTGGGGAGGATGCCTGAGTCTTCGTGGTGCTAAGAAATGTGGAGGATGAGGCAGAATTGTGACCTAAGGGTGATGGTCCTGGTGCTGTGTTGTGTGGTCAGCAGAGCATGAATTCTAGAATCAGGAGGATGAGGAGTTGACTAAGGGGTCTTTCATTTACCTGGTCATTGCCCATTCTCTCTTCTTGCTTCTTTATCCATGTTGAGTAATACCAGCCTCATCCTCTCCACAAAGTTGTAAAGAAGAAAGGAGATCACATTTAGAAGACAGATGCATCCTTTGAGAAAAAGTGGAACTCCAAGTGTGTTCCCCCTCGTGACCTTTGCACTTTTTACTTCCTCTGCTTGGAATGCTTTCCCCCAAAGAAGAAAATCAGAATTGTTCTCTCAGTTGTCTCCTCAGAGAGATCTTCCTCATCACTTCATATAAAACGGTCTGCATCCTCACCTCTGCTGTTCTGTCCTTTCCGCCCTATTTTCCTTTGTCACGCATATCACTGCCTGACGTATTAACATATGCATCTGTCGTCTAGACTGTCTCATGGATTGGAAAATAAGTTTCATGATTTTGTTTGTTCGTCCCCTCCCCTCTTTGGTCCATTGTGGTAAAATATGCCTGACATCTGATACATATGAACAGATACTTGGAGTATGAACTCAGCTGTGTTGGCAGTTACTAATCAGACATGTTAGTAGCCACTTGAATAAGTCATTTAACTTCTCCTCTTCCTCGTCTGTAAAATGGGAGTTGGGTGCTAAGGAGTTACCAGAGCTCATTCGCTGATGGTTTCCATCTCGTCTCTACCCTTCCTCAGTCATTTCCCTAGAGTTACAAACATACCAGCATCTAGATGCTTTCCTGTTGTGGTGACCCGTTAGCTCCCAGAAAACCTAAATGAATGTAAGCAGTCCAATTACAGTATTTCTAATTTTTTTTTCCTTTGAAAAGTCATTCCTCTACAAGCCTATTTTATATCTCCCCCCGTTTTTTAAAATAACTTGTGGGCTACACTTTGTATGGGTGAAAATTTTCTTTCTTCTGTCAGATGATTCTGGCCACTGGGGGAGAGGTGGTTTATTCACAGCTCTGGAAACACGATCAGCTGAACCAAGAAAAATATATGAGCTGGCTGGAAAAATGAAAGGTAAGCAAAGCAGAGGGGAGGGTCAAGAATGGAGTAAGACAGAGTGGGACACTGAAGATGATATCATGTGGGTCACACTGGATAGAGTCAGAAATGCTGATTGGGGTCTGAATTCTGCCATCCTTTAGCTAGTTGTATGAGTCTGAGCAATTCCTTACCACTTAAGTCCCTGTCTTCTCAACTGTAATGTGTGAATAATACTTGTATGCCTACTTCACAGGACATAGGATAATGAATTTGAAAGATGTCAATCACTGCAGGTATCTTAAAATATTAAATGAGGTTTATTTCATTGTCCACCTCAATCCATCATCTAAAGGAATCTCTCATAAAAATGTTACAGACCTATGGGAGAGAAATCAGATACATGAGTCATAGCTGTGTTTTTGGTTTGCGGGGAAGAGGGAGGACTATAAGGTCCATACAGCCTGGGGTACAACTTAGAAGTTAAGTTGTTTGGGACCAGGGCAACTGTGAAGGCTGAGCGGGACAGTACTGTCTCTGGGCTCAGAGAAGGGAAAGGCATTTCCTTTTATATGCAGAAATCACAGCCCGGCAAGAGGAGTAAAGCTATTATTATGGTTATATCCTGGGGGAGTTAAGCATTTACAAGACTTTGTCCAATAAAGAAGGGTTTTCCAGATTTCTTAGGGATTGGTTTTTCCTAATTCTTCTGTCCAGTTCTCTCAAGTGGAAAGGGTTATAAGGACCTAGAATGAAAATCCTATGTAGTAAGATAGATTTCCAAAAGACAGGCTTAATGTATATTGAAATAGTCAACCTAGATCTAGATGATGATTTGATAGCTAGAAAATGGAGAACCTAGGAAAAGTCAGGGCCAGAGATACAGACTGTACTTCTCTGTTTAAAGCTATGAGGGATAAATAAATAAATACAAACAAACTATGAGGGAGAAATGAGAAGATATAGAATAGAACATGGGAAATATCTCTGTTTCTTGTTGATACAAGAAGAAGAGAGAGAAAGCAGTATCAGAAAAGTAAGAGATCCTTGAGGCGTTAGTGTCTGAACTAAAGTTTGAGTAGCCCTTAGCCAAAAATGCTTGGGACCAAAAGTAGTATTTCGGATAATCAGATGTTTTTATTTTGGAATATTTGAATATAGAGAGAGACCTCTTGGGGATGGGATTCAAGTCTAAGCACAAAATGTATAGGTGTTTCATACAGACCATTTAAACATATGGCCAGGTGTGGTGGCGCACGCCTGTAATCCCAGCCCTGGGGAGGCTGAGGCAGGAGGATCGCTGGGAGTTTGAGACCAGCCTGGGCTACATAGTGAGTTCAAGGGCAGCCTGAACTACAAAAAATAAAAACAAAAAAAGTAGCCTAAAGATAATTTTACACAACACTTTAAGTGCACCTGTGTTTTGATGGTGCCCCATGCCTACAGTCAGGTGTGAAGTTTCCCACTGTGGCATCATGTCACTGTTCAAAACTTTAGGGTTTAGGAGCATTTTGGATTGGGAATGCTTACCCTGTACAGGGGGAAAGAAGATAGGAAGAAGGAAAAGTGGTCTGCGATGTCAGACCTGTGTCATCCTCATGGGAAAAGGCCACTGGATTTGACCCTACTTTGGTCATATGACCTTGGAATTCTTTGAGAATGTGAAGACTAAAACCTGGTTGCACAGACTTAGGGCAGAAGTTTTTTATCTTTGCCTCTTTTCTTCAGAGTTGTGAGTGTACACTCTTCTCTGGAGAAGGACTGAGGTAGGGTATAGCAGAGTAGATGGAACCGGGCTGGAACTTACCAGAGAAGGCTTCATGGAGGTGGGGACAGTTATCTTGGGTCTGGAATGATGGGCTGAATTGGAATAAGTGGAGAGAAATGGCAAGAGGATTTCTACCAGCTGCGTTCTATAGCATCCTCTCGCCATCTCCTGTTCCCAGTATATGGGTACGGAAGGACTCGGCTTGTTACACAGTTCCTGTGTGTGGGCCAGGCAGGCTGGAGAGTAGGGTTTAGGCCAAGAAAGAGGAAAGTTGGATTTAATTTATTTTTAAATTTTATTTAATTTTTTTGGTACCAGGGATTGAACTTGGGTCCTTGTGTTTGCGAGGCAGGCACCAGAACCACTGATCTAAATCCCCGACCCGAGAATTGGATTTTAAAGGGAGGCATGGCTGTATCATGGAAGTCCATACAGCTTGTCCAGAGAGCATATCCAATGGATGATGAATAGTCTTTTGGGAAATACCAGAAGAATGGCATAACAGAGCCAGTATTTTCCAGTGACTTAAAAGATGGGAGTGTGCAAGATACCTATAATTTTATTAGAACAAAAAATTCAAACTATGTAAAGCCCAGAATTAAATTAGCACATTTGTGTAGAGCATCCATTCAGTTTGATTTGGATAGGATAGTGTGTTAGTTACCTTTCCATTTCTAGGACAAAATACCTGATATCTGCAACTTAAAGGAAAGATTTATATTGGCTCATGGTTTCAGAAGTTTCAGTCCATAATTGGCTGGTTCCAAGGCAGACACATCATGACAGAAAGGTTTGGAGTAGGAAGCTGCTCAATCAACTCTTAGCAGCCAGAAAGCAGAGAGAGGAAAGAGGAACCAGAGAAAAGATGCACCCTTCAAAGGCACACTTCAGTGGCCCATCTCCTCAATAGGACCTACCATCTAAGAGCACAGTCAGCTATGAACTCATCAGTAAATTCTTTTTTCCATTACTAGGGATTGAACTCAGGGCATCTGCACTGAGCTACATTCTTAGCCTTTTTATTTTTGAGACAGGGTCTTGCTAAGTTTCCCAGGTAGAACTTGCACTTGCTATCCTCCTGCCCGAGCCTCCCTAGGTGGTGGGATTATAGACACAGGCCGTTGAGTCCAGCTTTATCCATGAATTAATCCACTAATGGGTTTAGTGTTCCCAAGACCCAGTTACCTTCCACAACCCCACCTGTGAACACAAGCATTTTAGGGGATATTTTTGATCTAAACCATAAAGAATAGAAAAATACATGAATAGAGATAGATATAGTTGGGTCAGAGATTTGGCTCAGTGGTCTGCCACCTGCCTCACAAGTGCAGTTCGATCCCTGGTACCAAAAAAAAAAAAAAAAAAAAAAAAA